CAAGAGACCTAATTGCCAATCCTTTGGAGAATTTAAATTACTTTTAACGGAACAAAACAAAACAAAAATCCTCTCTGGTTACTCTTGGTTGGCTAGAATGTCCCTTGTTTCCAGTCAGCCATTTTCAGAAAGGTGCTGCCAACTTCAAAGGACTCAGTTACCCAAAAGAGGTATACTTCAGCCTGTCAGTTTTGAGAGATGCTTAAAACATCAGTTTCTAACACATAAAACTAAAAACTTTAGGATACATTGTTTTTTACATCTCAACCTGACCTTACTAAGGGAGCACCCAGAATCAGTAAAATAGATACAAATTGAATGTGATTGCCACAACCACTTTAATAAGTCTCTAGGAATGCTACAGGGAACAGCCTGATTTTGGTCAAATTGGTTCACGATTGTGAAAGAAAACCAGTTTAGAAGCCAGGTGATGTGCGGACTGCAGGTCTGCCCTTGGTCAGAGTTTAACATTCACTTGGATGCAAGCTAAAGCTTAAATTGATTTCTTTCCAAAGGCACAATCTGTAAAACACACACACACACACACACACACACACACACACACACACACACACACACACATTCTGTAAAACACACACACACACACACACACACACACACACACACACACACACACACACACACACACACACTAGGTGTTTAAGTGTAAGGGCTTCTTTGATGTCAAGTTTCTACCAAGAGACTGAATGACTTAAATAAATTAGAAAGCAGGGAGAGAGAGAGGAGGAGGGCAAAAGAGGAAGAACTGAGCTGTGGTTCTAGAATCCCAGGGCCATCGCTCTTGCTCTGCCTGACTCCCAGCATCGGGGAGCGGGACTGCTGGGCTTGCTCAGGGAGAGGGAGGCCTTAACATTCTTACAACTCGATACTTGTCATCATCTTTCCTGTTTGTTTGAGGGTGAGGGAATTGGGAGTTTTGAGCAACAAAACCTGGACAGAGGGTCAGTCATTGCTCCGAGAGCTCGTTCTAGTCCTTCCCCAGCCCCACTGACAGGCTGGCAGTTCTAGAAATCTGGTTGTCCAACCCTTTGCCTGAAACCCTAAAATGAAAATTGCTCCAACTATGTTCTCTATTTCCTGATAAACTCTCCCAGTGCTAATGGTGTGAAACCTTTGCAGGCATGGCTTTAATTTTGTGAGGCTTCAGTTTCGGGGAAGGCAGAGTAAGGCTGAAGTTGACTGGTGTGCTTCACTGAACGCCTTTGTCAACAAACCACAGGGCGCATGGAAGTTTCTGGGAGGTTCTTCTCCAACCTTAACCCAGGTCACAAAATTTGCATGAGCCAAAAGAGGCAAGGCAAGCAAACATTTGATAGTGAAAGAGTGAATTCTGTCTGTGATCCTGGGTTCTTTGGATACAAACACTAGCCTGTCTTATGAATGTTCATCTGGAAAATAACCATCGTCGGGCAACTGGGGCAAAGGTGATTTTTAACATTTGTACAGATGCAGTGTGGTACAAAACCACGTTACTGTCTCCGCTGTCCAGTGACCAATCACATCCCAACTGCCACTAAATGTTGGGGTTTCTGGCCCTAAAATCCATCTGCTTCTCACCAACCTCATCTCTTTCCCTTGACAACTTCGGTAGCCTCCTCCTCAGAGGTTTTCATGTTCCCCGCGTGCAGCCCGACAGTTCCTTCTGGCTACTGCTGTAATTACCTTTGAAAAAAGTGACTACTTCATCCTCTGCTTTCAACCCCCATCACCCACAAAATACAACACAAACTTAGCTTAGGATTCAAAAGTGAAAAAATCTCCTTGGGGGAAAACAGCAGAGAAAACATAAGCCTCGGGAAGGACATGGCCCTAGAGTCCCTTTGCTCTAATGAAGGGAGAAGTCCATGAGTGTTTATATTAAACTAACTTTTATGGGTTTTATCTAGAACATGTGTAATACTGGTTTTACAAGGAGTTTAAACAGTTTATCAAGAGTTCTGAGACCACAACTCATTTGCAAAATTGGGACTATGTGTATTGCTTTATTTGTACTATTGTTTAAATGGCTTTGGAATTGAAATAGAATTAAAAATTACATCTGAGTGTCAACAGTGCCTCTCATAGTAAAACCTTATCATTTTAACCTCTGACCCCAATGAGGTGTCCAGAGAAGTAGCAGAATAGAATCATTTGTCATGAAGTTAAGCCTATGATACAGACGAACATGGAGGCTCACGTTTTAGACCACACTAACAAGGCCCAGGCCCAGGTGTCTGGAATGTGATTACACAGGCTAGCTTTTGCTTCTGCCGCTTTAATGTTAAAACTAAGAGATTACGTGCATTATATTAAAAGGTCGGGGGGCGGGGGAGGTGATGACTTCTTAAGAACAAAAGTCACAACCAAAGAGGTGGTTTTTCAGTACGGTTGAGTTTTTTTGCACAATGCTTTGTATTTCTTCTTTACCCCTTCTCTTCTCAACCAAGACAGGCCATGCCTCCTGTTCACCATTCATATTCCTCATGTCTGGCATAAGTGTGTACCCACTCAATAATCTATTAATCTAACACTTCAACACGGGATGCCCAAGTAGATGATTCCTCATCTTTTTCTTACTTGTCATAGAGGGTAATGTTAGCACTTCTTTAGTACTTAAGTTACAGGCACTAAGTACTAAGTAAGCTTACATATATCTCACTTAATCCTCAAACTAAATGTTGGTATTAATGTTCTTCTCATTTTACAGATGAGGAAACAGCCTTAAGAAGTTTAATTTGCTCATGATCAGATAGTAAGTGGTAGTACTCCAAAGTCAATATTCTAACTACCATATAAACTGCCTTTTTTACACCCATAGACCTCTCTATACCTTGTAATTGCATCTTTCAAAAGTGACTATCAGTTGTCTAGCTGTGAGAATCTCCAGAGAAACAGTAGATGGTGAAGGACTGTAGGACAAAGGAGGTAGCACTAAATCATATGAGAATATGAGTGATCGAATGATGTCTGAGACCTCAATTTTCAAAGTAAAAGAGCAAGGCTATCTAGGTTTTCCAAAGAGGGTATGGTGATCTCACTAAGCAGGTCATTTGGTTTTCAAAAAACACACGGCCAGAAGGGAGAAAGAAAGGAATAAAGACTAGTCAGCTCTTAGGGATTATCTTTTCCTGAATCCCTTAGTCATTGTCTTCAAACTAAAAAATTATCTATTCAAGGGACTTTATTCTCTCTCATAGAACGAAATAGGTGAAAGGCAAAACCAAAAACAAACAAAATTCCTCCTATTTCCTGTTGTCTCCTCTCCTCGAAGATGTTAAGTGCTAAATGTCTTATCTAGAAGTCCATTATAATTTAAATAGCCTCTTGAAATATTTCATGATACAAGAAGAAATATAACAGGGCATAAAGAGAGCAGTGACTTTCTAAAAATTTTCCTTGCTTGCTCAACTGGTTATTCCTGGAGTACAGAGGGGGAAAATGTGCATCCTGAAGTCCATTTCACTGTTGATGTTGCTTTATTTTTTGCTCTGTTGCAAGGTGCCGCACCGGCGCTCTACGGTGACAACGGTGACAGGGAGACAGGGTATAATGAAGGTCAGGTAACGGGGGGGGGGGGGGGGGGGTTTCCTCCAGAGAAAAACAAGTGGACAGGGACCGGAAATTTGCATTTTTCCACTGCTACTAGTGGAAGAAAATTCAGAAATTTCAACTGCTGCCTTAAAAAATAGATGGTGATAAGAATACAGTAAAAATGTGCAAGTTTAGGCAACAATCATTGCAAACTAAGCTTATTTTTCAGGTATCCTAACTACCTGGTACTCTAGCATGATCAGCTGGCTTCTAACTGTAAGGCAAATATTCTCTTTCTTACCAAGTATAGTTTCTTTTCTGTGAAAAAAATGCAAATCATTTTACTCCCAGTTTCCTGAGTTTTACATGTTTACCGTTTGGCAGTCCACGCTGCCAAATTATAGCCACTTCTGGAATAAGCAAGTCCAGTCTCCTTTAGAACAATCACCGCTAAGCCCCGACCCCATTTTGCATTCTGCATAGGAAATTTGTAGATGTAAACAATAGCAGGTATCAGAACCAAGAATATCTAAGCAACCAACACGTAAGTAAGGTAGGCAATAACAGGCTGTCAGTAAAAAGTAAAATCCAGTGGCATTCAAAACCATTTATAAAGCTCTCTTGTATGAAATGATGCCACTAGTATTCTGCAGGGTCAGAAGGGGCAGGTCAGCTTCCTAACAATATTCCAACATAGCATATGGAACTACCCATTATTAAGTCTACCTGGGCCAGCACTTTGCATCTGTCATGTGCAACATTTACAACAATAATACTGTTCTTTCCACTTACTAAAGTCACCTTGCTAAACGCAGGTCTATTTGATCTCAAATGCATGCTCTTTGTTCTGCCTCTGTGACTACAGACCAAATTCTCTGTTTAGAAAATTTATCACTGGACTGGTATTTTATTCAACCTAATATCATATAATGTAAAAAGAATCAATCACTTGCTCAAACAATGAGCCAGCAGCTTGGAATTGGAAATCTATGTCATTGAGAGTTCCTCCCGTAAGGGTGAAAAATCATAATCATTGGAAATGTGTTCTCAAAGAAACATTATGGACATGTCTAAAACTATGCAATAAATGCTAATCAGATTTTTTTCTTTCAAATTTCCTTTTTATTCTAAGTTGTTAGTCCTTTCCCTATTTCTTTTTTTCTTCTAATTAAGTGTATATCCTAAGTATACCTTGTAAATTTTCAGCCTGTAATTTCAACACCAGTGATGAAGGACAGAGCAAAAAGCAGCACGGGAAAGACAGTCTGGATAAGATATTGTCAGAAATAACCCAGGAAATCATTACAGACCAATGGTAAGGCACACCTTCCTGGTGGCAATGGCTTCTCTGAGGGTTACGCTGTGACCCAGGACACTGAGTCCACTTGGAAAATGTCTACCAGCATTGGGTGCAGAGGAAAATATTAAACAGGACACACAAAACATTTTTCCCCTTCCCACTAAGTGTTTATTTTATAGCTTTTGCATCAGGTAATCAACTGAAACACTTCAACAACAGAAAGCTGGCAGAATAAGGAAAAGGAGTGATTATCTCTCCAGCAGATGTGACAAAATGGTTTCAAGTTGGAAACAGTATTGCATAAATGAATCAACGGAATGGGGGGTGGGGGAAGGGGGAGAGAACAGAGACAGAGCAAGGAGTCAGCATCTTCCAACATGGACTGTGAGGGGAAAAGGCACTCTTTAGCTGTCTGTATAGTTATAAAATAAAAAATATATATACACAATCCATGTTTCTCAAAATTACATTTGACATTGCTTTAGTGATGCTCGCATACCTCTCAATAGAAAGCTCCTGAAGCTGTCTGTAAAATCAGATAGACGGCACCAGTGTGTCTAAATCATAGGCTTAACACTAATGTGTTTTAAAGAGATCATCCCCAACAGGGTCCTTTTATAAATAGTACTGCAAAGGTCACAAAGCTGCATGAACTTAAATTATAGGATAAATCTGACTAACATGATCACCCATTTCAATCTCTCAAATTCCCACTTCAGGAAATCAGAACAGCACGTGAGCTCCACTCCAGAGGAGCTGAATTGGCAGTGCAGCTGAAGCAGGGTTGCTCTTCCCCTCGAAAGGCTGCCTGAGCAGCTCAGCTGGCATCAGACAGCAACTCTGCAGAGGGCAAATGGATGCAAAAATTTAACAGCGATTGCCCTGCTTCCTCTCAAACTAAATAGCACTAATTTATGAAGAGGCAAGTTTTCAAATCATAAATTAGAAGCACCTGGGCCTCTTAAAGACAAACTTCCTAAAAGGTTACAGTACCGGGTGCTTCTCATAATAAAGGATCCGAGGACCATAGGTGTGTTTTACAATGATCACTGGGAAAACGCAAATAGATGGGTTTACACAGATGTTCTCTATGTAGAATTTAAATATAAACGAAAATACCAACTATGCATTTGGGAACCAGCCTTTAGTTAAATTCTCTAGTGCTTTTAGAACTTTTATTTCATTTTATTAGAAAAAGAGAGAATAATTGTCTACAAACTATTTTCTTTCTAACTATGCAAATACAATGAGCAAATCATCTGCAATATCAAAATACTATCTGTAAATCACGGATGGCACTAAGAATTTTAGGAATTTTCAATAGGACATACATAGAGAAAGAGCAACAGTAGATTTCAAATTGTAGACATTAACTGAATTTTAAAAGTAGAAAATAAAATTTAAAGTTTAAAAGTCAGTAAGTTCAAGTTATCTGATTTTCAGTAATTTAAATCCAGGAATTCAGAAGCACCCAGTATGTTCAAAGTTGCACAAATGAGTATGAATGATAGAAAAGTAATCTATAACCCATGCAATATCTTAAGTGTTGCTATCAGGTATATTTAAGTGATACTTTACAGATTAAAGCTGGGTAAAATCAAAATATATCCTCCCCATTACATTTTAAAAGTCACAATAATTTATGAACAGTTGCCATTTCACAGCAATTAGAAAACAGGAGGTGATACAAGTTCAACAAAAAGGTACTTTTTCCTCTTTTAGGAAATAAACATATAGATATACATACACACATACGCACAGAACATTCTCTTTTAAAATTCAAAGTGGTTGATCTGCTTTTGTATTATAAAACAAACAAACAAAATTTCCCTATGATCAAAATACCAGAAAAGCGCAAAGGCTGAAAAAAGAAAACCACATTTACCACTTTAAAAAAATACATTATTGTCTCAGTGGTTCTACATATTTGATTATAAAGTTAGGCATTATAAGGACTCTGCGCTCGGCAGACTTGTAGGACTGTATTGGACCACTGGAATTAAATCTAACCCCTTCTCAGTCTCCAGGAAGGATACTCCTAACGCACCCTAAAAGATGATAGAATAAACTCCTATTCTGAACTGTTAAAATGGGAAAGAAAACAGCCCACCTGGAAGCAATCTAAGTCACAAAAGTTTATGAATCTGTGGGAGACACTGCCTGAATCAGAAAGCTGTTCTTTGGATATAAGTTAGCAGCTTTGGGAAGTATATAAACTCTTTTAGGCCATTAGAGTACAGATTCAAAAATGACTTCTTCATAAACAATGACCTATTGCAGGGGTATTACAACCTGTGGTCCATACCTAGCATGTCTCCTGTTTTTGTAGTAAAGTTTTATTGGAAAATAGCCATGCTCATTCATTTATGTATTGTCTACGGGTGCTCTTGTGCTACAATGGGAAAGTTGAGTAATTGTGACAGATACCATATGGCCCACAAAGCCTGAAGTATTTACTCTCCGGATCTTTATTTAACAAAGTTTCCTGACCCCCGATCTAGTGCACATGCTACTCTAGTTGCCTAGAAGAGTTAATGCACCTCAAGAGGATTTCAGCATGTCCTCCAAGAATAACCTACATACTGGGGCTCTTTAGCAGATAAATGTCAAGCGCCCACCTTGAAGTGGTGCTTTACTTTTGGGCAAGGAAATAATTCATATATATTTTCAACAAACATCTGTAGAAGTTAATAAATACACAAAGAAGAAAGAAAGCCAAATATGAAAAGTATGCATGTCAATGTTCTCTTAAGATTTTTCTATTACTGGCAGGAAAGGGTACAAATATGATCCTGTCAACCCTTTAACTTTTAAATGTGTTAATAAATGCTTTTTGGTTAGTAGTACTGCCTCCTCACCTCCCATACAATTAATAACCTTGAAAGCAACCTGCCTAAAATTCTTACATAAGTTTGGTGAGGCCTTGTTTGGGAATATTTATTTAAACTATACATATTAAAGGTTATTCTTTTAGAAAAATGTTTCTAAAATTCTTTATCTCTGTCACTCGAAGAAGGGGAAGAAAGTAAAGAACACACAGGGAAATTAAACTCTGCAAAAATATACCTTAAAAACCAGAGGTATAAAAACAGGAAAACTGTCCAAATTTGAAGAACAAATTTTCCCCTGCCCTTAGTCAGCTAATGAAGTCTTTTACAGCTAGGGAGCCTTCTGAATTCAAGCAGCTGCTCATGAATCGTTAAGAATTCACAGGTGTTTCATATTTCAACATTTGAACCAGGGAAGATAAAACACTGAGAAGATATTTATCAGACACAAATTTATATCAAGATTAATTTTTTTAACCATCTTATAAGTGGACTTTCCCTTTCTTTTTAAAAAAAGGAATGGTGTGAAACTATATGTTAAAGATGTTTCCGTAATACCTTACATTTATTTACTGTAAAAGCGCTTTACAGTTTTCAAAGTGCTTTCACATGCCATCTCATTTAATCCTCACAACACCCCTGCGAGGTAGGTACAGCAGGTATTATCGCCCTCATTTCCAGATGAGGACAACATTGAGGCAAAGAGAGGTTAAGTGACTGACCCAAGATCACACAGCTGATAAGTGGCAGAGCCAGACCAGAAATCAAGTTTTCTGACTCCTTGTCCAGTACTCTTTCCACTATAATTACCGCCCCCAATTATGAATAATGTTCTATGTATAAAATTTGAAAGGTTATTAAATTTCAGTGATATCTTAAATGACAAATACAAGAACAGTAGGTCTGATGGTTTTACTCGACGTAATAAAATTGGTGCAAAACCACTTTTGTCTAATTACTTATAACCTTTTGGTCCAAATACATAAAATATGCAATATTTACAGCATTTTCCTTTTTTTTTTGTAAATGCAATGCTTTAAAACACATTATAAAGCACCTTAGTAAAAATAGTCTACAAGTAAAAGTACAGAAGAAGTAGGAAAATCCTACCCATACCACAGCTCACTAATGGAGTTATAATATGGAGTCACTGATATCTGTTTATAGCTTTACAAATAACCCATGGAGGAACAAATACTAAACTTACTTTTTTTAATATTAATATGTGGAAGCCTTAACTAAAACTTCAGGCAATGTCAACATTCTTTGAAGTGTCTCCCCAGTCTCAGATACTGGGGAGACAGGAATGAGAAATACTGCTTTGACTCTTTCTTGTATTAATAATTGTTTAAATTGGTTTTTAACACTAATGACAATAATTTTTAAAGGAAATTAACATGACCTACATAAATATGGGCAATTCCAACTACAGTAGAGACATTTCCTAGCAAACATGTTCAAACATTCCAATAAATTTCATGAGACATGATTCACAAAAACAAAGCACACACTGCCAAACAGTTAGTAACACTATATTCAGTGGCGCTGTATAACCCAGACCTCCAGGCGAAGGTGAAGTAGCAAATGGATTCATACTCATTCATGGTTAGTTGAAAAAATGCTTTATCAAAAAACAGAATATCAGAACTTTTTCTGAAATTGTATTTAGCCTTTTTATTAGAACTGCTATATGTTTATTTTAGGCAGGAGGTTGTCACTCCCACCAAAATTTAACCAGGAAAAGCAAACAAATAAAAACAAAGCCTGAAACTCAAACCTCTCAGACCGCTGACATACCAGCCAGCATCTACTTCTTTGACGTCATTGTCTGTTTTCTAACTCGGCTCAATACCAGTTGTCTTATACACCTATCAGCGATCCAAGTGGTAGAGCTGAGAACTAGGGTGAAGACAGGGTCAAAGTTTTAGTTCAAAAATCCAATAGTCCCACCATGTACTCAGTTCGATTTAGGGTAAATCTTTTCATAAAAAAAGTTTTGTGCGAGGATGTAGAGGTCTCCATCTTTTTCTCTTACAGCGTGGGCTCTGATGAACTGGAACTGCTCTAGTGCAAATTCATAGAACTCATTCTCCATTTTCCAAATGTCAGATTGCTGTAGTTTTGCAATGGTTTGTTTAGTGGGGAGCTTCTTCTCTGTGGTTTTCCTAAGATGAGATTTCTTTCCTACTTACAAATGAAAAAAAGAAAAGGTAAATAATTATGAGAACATATAAAAGATCAATGCCTCTTATTTGAATAGATGGTTTAAGTTAATATTGAAGGAAGGTAACATAATTGTTTTATATTATTATCACTCAAGCCAAAAAACAGTGCCCTAATCATACTGCAACTGTAATTTATTCCTTTGTAATGTAAATCCGTAACCTTTTAAAAGACTTAATGAGTTATTAAATAGTAAAAGTAAGGACTGCCAGTCAGTGAGGTGGATGTTGTCACAATACATGCTGTATTCTCAAGTGCTCTAACTTCATTTTTTAAAACAAGATAAAATATCTATATTTAATCTTAATCCTAATTTCTCATTAACTATACTCCATATAATTTTATGTTAGAAACTAGGACCAGCACAGTCACTTTCTGATATGAAATGTTGTCGAGGCTGCTGAAGCATGTGCTGTCAGGAGGGCTGTAACCGACATAGAGTGCATGAAGATCATTATTAAAGTGACTGAATCCTACTGTCCCACCTCTACTCTAAGTGGCATTAAGAGATTTAAGGGTGGAATACAGTCATAATGGTTGGTATCCAGAATTATTAAATATTATACATTTCTAACACTGGTTCTTAGTTTGGATATTTCCACTGTTCCTATAATGCCTTCTAATTACCATCTCATACATGTTTATTCATTCAAAAAATATTTACTGAACACCATCTGAGTGCCAGGAACTGTTCTGTTTTGAAAATGATGAGGAGAGACAGATAACATACCTGCCTTTCTGGAGTTATTTCTTGTACTTTACTCAAGAACTTCAAATCACACATAGTTTTCAATTTTTAAAAGAAGAAAGTTAAGGACAACTTCAAAAAGAAACCCATCGTTTATATACCTGTACGGTAGAGTTCTGTAGCACCCCTGAAGAAGCGGGGCAAAGCTGCCTCCAATAACATGATAAAATCTTCAAGCTCTTCAGTAACTCCCACCAGAAAGTATTCATTAACTAGGTTATACTTGGCTTGATCCATAGCCCACCTGCTTCCCACATTCCTAAAACCAAGAAAAGAAATCAAGAACTTGATGCCTTTGCCACTGTATATTACGGAAAAAAATAGATAAACACATGTCCATCCAAAGCCTTAACACTCTTTTATTCACGTTCTCCTGGAGGCACACCTGTTTTCAATTTCCTCTGCCTCTACTCCCCACTTCTGCTCAGCTATGCACTGCTAATTCATACTTTATAGTTAGCTTAATATTAACAAAGTTTAGTTTAAGGGCATATAGACACAGAAATATCATATTTCTTCTCTGAGTTAGTGTGAGTGCATTTATTTTTTTAAAACTATAACTTTGTTCAGTTTAAAAACTCTTTAGTAGGGTCTAAGCAACCTGTGTGTAGTGCTTACCTTAATTTCATTTGTGAGCTTAGGTTTTCTCTGTCATTTCTGAGGAACAAAGTAAGATAATAAATGGCTCTGCCAGGAATCTTTGATGTTTAACATCGTCAGCTAATGGCTGTTAATAGAGATTTGCCTCTAAATAAACTATACTCTTCAGTTCTTTTTAGCACTGACATTCCCCTAACCATAATTTCAGCTCTGTCTTTAAGCAGTGTGATGTTGAGCTGATGACTTTACCTTTCTTTGTATTCTCAGTCATTAAAAAGCTGTGGTGGGAGGTGGGGTAGAATAAATTAGTTTATTTCTAAGGTCTCTCCCAGTTCTATGAATCTGTAAAACATATTTAAGATGTTCAATTAAAACTTCCTCATTAATGCCCAACACAGCAATATTCTTTATTGTTCTAAGGCGGAAGTTGCAAACTTTCTATAAAAGACCAGAGAGAAAATGTCTTAGGTTTTGCAGGGCATATGGTCTTGGTCACACGTACTTAATTCTGCTCTTACAGCATGAAAACAGCCATAGACAATAAGTAAACAAATGAATGGTTCTGTGTCCCAATAAAACTATAAAAACAGGTAACGGGCCAAATTTAGTCTCCTGGTTATAATTTGCCAATCCCTGTTCTATATAAATGGTTAAAAATTAAGACATTCTTCCTGTGCTTCCAATTCTTCTTATACTATTATACTTTTATAAAATCTATTGCATAGGACTTTAAAGTTCACAGTAATCAAATATCTCAAATAATGAAGAACTGAAGACATTCCTTGTATCTCCTGATGGTTTTAAGAAAGATAATAACTTTCCATGCGTTTCTGTTTTTTTAACTTTTCCTATTAAAATTATTAATTAGATCAAATGACGACATACTATTATTTTTAAAAACTGAAAACTCAGCACATTCTGAGAAAATAAACTCTTTATAAAAGATAACATATCCTTATTTTGCACTTCATGTTTATTAGTAGACTAAACCACAACCGTAACCTCTCAAAGTCAAAGCCGATTTAACAATAAAACCAGGTGAGTAATTTACCCAGTAGGACAAAAGCCCTACTTTATCTAACATTAATGGCTAAAACAGTAAGCTTAAGGGAAAATGAGGTTTTATAAAATGATCCCTGACCTCTAATTAAGAGCTCTGCTGGAATACAGCAAAACATGTAACACTAAAAACCAACCAACCAAGAAACAAAAAAATCAAAAACCAGCATCTGAGAAAACACTGCAAGATTATGACACATAAAGAATCTTTTTAATGCACTTAAAGGTAACCACGAAACTAGGTATTACTTATTCATATGCTATATTTAGTCTTTCACTGATTTTCTTATACCTAACCCTCAATTAGCACAGTCATATTTGTGAAATACAGATTAGAGAGATGATGAAGATTATCAATTCAAGCTAACTTTATCTGCCTACCAGCATTCTGAGCTGTGTCCGCAGAAGAATGGGATTTGAAGCCAGAGCTTCTCTGGAGCACAGTCTGAGCCGCCCTCAGCTACACATTCATCAAAGGTCTGCAACAAAGACAGCACATGTGAGCCAGAAACCCAAGTCTCACCTGCCAAATATCGTAATGTATTAAGTTACCAAATAAGTGGGTGGTAGTGAGTACCCATTCACCGAGCTATCGAATAAAAGGGATGTGCAGGTTATAAACACATACCTGAGATACTGAGGAGAGTTAAACATGGATTTTTCTCACATCTTTGTTTTGTGCCAATGTCTGTTAGAATTCTTTCACTATATGAATAGAAACCCCCAGATAAAATCTTTTCCTTGAAAATATGTACTGGTTTATGTTAAATTTGTGTATTTACACTTTATAACTCCTAGTGCTAAAGGAAAATTAAATAAAAACAAGGCTAAAGATACTATCACTTCTATATAATCATTTGAAAAAATGTAAGGCAGGACTACATTTAACTCTTTCTTCCTTTTCTCATTAAAATAAGCACAAAAGATTTTCTCTAAACTTCCGGCCAAGATGGAGGCGTAGGTAGACACACTTTGCCTCCTCGCACAACCAAAAGAAGGACGACAACAAATTTAAAAACAAAAGATAACCAGAACTGCCAGAAAATTAAGAATTCCGGCAAGCAAGGAGCTAAAGAAGAAACATCTATCCAGACTGGCAGAAGGGGCGGAGACGGTCAGCCAGGAAAAAGAGGACACACAGCAAGGCGGAGCTGGAGGACCAGGCGGGCAAGGCAGCGGCTTTCAGTCCAGGTGGTCCCACATTTGCATGAGGATAAACTGTGAGGAACATCCGGGGAGCAAGACAGACCACACAATCCAGGGTTCGAGTGCGAGAAAAGAAAGCCTCAAAACCTCTGGAGGTAAAAACCTGTGGGGGTTGCAGTGGCAGGAGAAACTCCCAGCCTCACAGGAGAATCCGTTGGAGAGACCCACAGGGTCCTAAAACGTACACAAACCCACCCACCTGGGAATCAGCACCAGAAGCACCCTATTTGCTTGTGGGTAGTTGGAGGAGTGACTGAAAGCAGACTGAGGGCTGAGTAAGCGGCATTGTTCCCTCACAGACACCTCCCCCACACACAGCGTCACAATGCAGTGACCTGGGTTGCCTGCCCTGGCAAATACCTAAGGCTCTGCCCCTTCTTAACGTAGCAGGTGCTGGGAGCCAAAGAAATATGGCCCAAATGAAAGAACAGATCAAAGCTCCAAAACTACAACTAAGCGATGAACAGATGAACCAACCTATCAGATGTACAGTTCAACACATTGGTAATCAGAACACCCACAGAAATGGTTGAGTATGGTCGCAAAATGCAGGAAAAAGTGAAGGTTATGCAAAGTGAAATAAAAATATACAGGGACAAATAGTAAAGGGAAGGAAACCGGGACTCTAATCAACGATTTGGAGCAGAAGGAAGAGATGAATATTCAACTAGAACAGAATGAAGAAAAAGAGTTAAAAATGAGGAGAGGCTTAGGAACCTCTGGGACAAATTTAAACATTCCAACATCTGAATCATAGGGGTGCCAGAAGGAGAAGAGGAAGAGCAAGAAATTGAAAACTTATTTGAAAAAATGATGAAGGAGAACTTCCCCAATCTGACCAAGGAAATAGACTTCCAGGAGATCCAGGAAGCTCAGAGTCCCAAAGAAGTTGGACCCAAGGAAGCACACAACAAGGCACATCATAATTAAGTTACCCAAGATTAAAGATAAGGAGAGAATCTTAAAAGCAACAGAAGAAAAGGAGACAGTTACCTACAAAGGAGTTCCCAGAAGACTATCGGCTAATTTCTCAAAAGAAACCTTGCAGGCAAGAAGGGGCTGGAAAGAAGTATTCAAAGTCATGAAAAGCAAGGACCTACATCCATGATTACTCTATTCAGCAAAGCTATCATTTAGAATGGAAGGGCAGATAAAGTGCTTCCCAGATAAGGTCAAGTTAAAGGAGTTCATCATCACCAAGCCCTTATTATATGAAATGTTATAGGACTTATACAAGAAAAAGAAGATCAAAAACTATGAACAGGAAAATGACAACAAACTCACAAGTTTCAACAACTGAATCTAAAAACAAAAACAAAAAGAAAAACAAACTAAGCAAACAACTAGAACAGGAACAGAATCACAAAAATGGAGATCAGAGGGGAAAGGCAGGGGGAAGAATGAGGTAGAAGATGTGTGGAATAAAGAGCATAAATAGTAGGTACAAAATAGGCAGGGGGAGGTTAAGAACAGTATAGGAAATGGAGAAGCCAAAGAACTTATATGTACGACCCATGGACATGAACTCAGGAGGGGGATGCTGGTGCGAAGGGGGTGCAGGGCAGAAGGGAATAAAGGGGAGGAAAAAATGGGACAACTGTAATAGTATAATCAATAAAATATATATATTAAAAAGAAAAAATTTAAAAAAATAAGCAAAAAAAATTATTGTACAAAGCAGAAATGATTTCAGGTTCTTAAGACTCATATGCATTCCTATCCAAATGCATCTGAATGAAATAATTGAAAGGGAAAAGAGACTCACAGTTTATGTATCTAAAATTATTCAATTTCACTTTCTTGAGTACTTACTGTCTGTCACAGGCATTTTAACAGTAGGCACTATTTATTTGAAATGATACGCGATACGAGAGAACTTGAGAGCTGCGATTGGTGCAGTGAGACACCTACAAGTACCATCTGCGATTTCTGAGAAGAGGAAGTATGAAGGAGTAGAAAGAGGACTTAGCTGGAGTAAAGGCTCCCGAGTTTCTATATCCAGTTTCCTTTGTTTTAGAAGTTTAGCATCCACTCTAATTTACCTATCAAATATTTTAATAGATAATAGGAAAGTAGAAAAATAGTTTGGGTTTCCAGCTCCTTTATGGTTCTTTCTTACTATCTGGGGATAATCAACTAAAAGAAACAAACTAAAGATGGCAAGGAAGATGCGGAGGGTGGTAAAAACTATGAATGATCAAAAGTTGGTGAACATGTGTGGGTCAGATCTTAGCATCTAACAGAAATTCTCCCATTTCTATGTAAATATTTGAATAAAATAAACCACGAGTATTCTCTAGTGAAAGCTCAATACCACTTTTACTACATACAACTTGATGAATCAATCCACTGAGATCTTAGGATGAACTGTTGCGCTGACTCGAACAGTGAAAACTGTCACTCAAATGCCTGGTCACCAAAAATTTCCTGCTTATTTGCTAACTTCTATAAGCCTTCTACTTACATTTTGGTCACATTTCATAAATAGAATTTGTCTATAAATAAGTATTTTTCTCTTATGAAACCTCAAGTCCTTAAAACAAAAAGCAAAAACAAATGAAATAAAAACACTCCAGACTCTCCCTCACCCACAGAATCATCAGAGAAACAAAAAATTATGATCAGCTTTTTCACTTAAAAACCATTCGTGGTTTTGCCCTGACCAGTGTGGCTCAGTTGGTTGGGCATCATCCTGCAGAGTGAAAGGTCGCCAGTTCGATTCCTGGTCAGGGCACATGCCTGGGTTGCAGGGTCAGTCTCTGGTCAGGGTGCATACAAGAAGCAACCAATCAATGTTTCTCTCTCACATCTATGTGTCTCTCCCTCTCTTTCTCCCTCCTTCCCCCTTCTCTAAAAACAAATAAAATCTTCTTTTAAAAAAATTTAGTTTTTAAAAAGAACCGTTCTTTGTGAACTAAACAAAAATATTTTTAAAAGCATGAAATATCAAAATATTCTTGAGACCATTTAGATGATTGGTTTAGATATTTAACTCCTAAAATTGAAGGTTAAAAGAATTAAACAGATGCTTGATAGTAATGGCAATTATATTTGCATTAAACCCTCTTCTGCAAATGATTTTGCTTCACACTTTACATAGAAAACTGAAGCTAAGCGTGAGCTCTCTCAATTTCCTACTTAGATAAAAGTTTATCTGCATCTGTAGCCCTACTGCCCTCATCTTTAAAGAGACATTTTCCTCTCCTATCTTTGAACACCATTCTTACCCCCTTCTGAGACCCTGCTCCATCAATTTTTCTCCAGTTCCTTGCATGATCACCCCATGCTGTCTTCAGAGATATTAATATGCCCAAGTGTATGTCATCTTAAAGGAACATTTCCTGATTTTTTGTTGTTCCTTTGAAAGCCAAGCTTCTATTTCAGTAGTCTTTCTTCAGAGTCAGTCTTAACACACCTCTCAGTTGTTTCCCAACCCTTTGGATTCCATCTGAACTCCTTTTTTGACATCCCTAATGAACTTGCCATTGACAAATCAAAGGGACAGATTTCAGTCATCAATTCACTAAATTTTTTGCAATTGAAATTATTTTCCTATCCATTTCAAGGACTTGCCAGGTTTGTCTCCTCCTCTGACAGCAGCCTCCTTGTCATGCTGTTCTTTATCTGCCTGTTCTTTAAATGCGGGCATTCCCCAGAGCTACGCATCTGCACCCCGCCCCCTTTTCTTATTCCTTTTTCCTTTGGTCCCCTTCAAACTTCACATGTCTTTCCAAGTGCAATTTCACTCAATCCCTTGTCTCAGCTTCCACCTAATGATGACTCTCAAATCTATGGTTTAGTCAGACCTATTTTTTGAGGTCCAGATACAATTTCTATTTGATACTTCCACCTTCTTATACATTACTAAAAATAATGTCCATGTTCATCTCTTTTTTTCACCTCCATTACAATGGACTCTTCCTTTGGTTTTCCCTCTTCTAGTGAAAGGAACCACCTACGGTCCAAACAGAAACTTGGGAAGAACACAGGTCAAGGCTGACTCTGGGTTATACACCTTTTACTGAGATAATTGGTCTACAATGAAGTTAGCAAACCTGTAAATATGGCAACCAAAAAGATATTATATTGCTTTCCTATGGTGTGTTTGACATATAAAATACTTTCTAAGCAATCAGTAAGTTCTTAAATGCCTTTGTGAGACAGAACAGTAAAATTCATGTTCGATATGCAAACCATTGTCAGGGAATTGTGAATTGCCAAGGACTATGAAGAGAGTATTTTGTAAGTCATTGGTAAAACCAGGTAGTGCTAAGTATGAATTCCTTCCAGTCTTATTTACTATCTTTTATGAATTAATATATTTTTGGGTAGTATATTTTAAATTCATTATAATCCCTCTGGCTGTAGATAAGCCTATTAATTTAAAGAAATACAAAAAGCAAACTGGGGTAGGAACTGGGTCTCTGGGTACTAAATGAGTGCCTCTTAACAGAAACTGATTCTTCTTTAGAGTGTCTGAGAGCAAGTAACTAATTACTCTTTCCATAAGTATAAACCCTCTTGATGTCCTGTTAATAAAATAATTTATAAAAAGTTTAATAATCTATAGGGCCGTATAAAGTTAAAACCATACAAAATAAATATTTACATATTTAGAGAATGTGAGCCATGAGATTCATTGGTGCAGTGAACATTGGTCGGGAGCCATTAAGAAGGCCTGGGCTGAAACAAGGACTCGGAGACAAACTATGGCTAATCAAACTCGAGTATTTGATAGACATTTTCTCAAAATGAACGAAGTGTGCTGCCTGTCACTTGAAAGAAAACAACTGACAGTGTCAGTAGCCCTGTGGTTCTCAACTGGAGCTGTTTTGACCCTCCGGTGATATCTGGCAATGTTGGAAGGCATTGTTATTCTCACAGCTGCGGTCTGTGTGCGGGAAGGGTGTTACTGGGTAGAGATCAGAGATGCTGGTAAACATCCTACAATTATAGGCAACCTCACACAAAGAATTATGTGGCCCAAAATAATAACAACATCAACAGCATCAAGATTGACAAACCCTGTGGTAGCCAGTGATTAAAGTGTTCAAGCAAAAAATAAAAAAATTGGAAAATTTGATCAGTCACCATAAGCTTGACTCTTTCCCAATACATAAAGATTTCTGATGAGATCAACGGTGATGTTAATGAATGTGAATTTTTGATATTGTATAATAAAATGTATCAACATTTGGAAGATCCACATACTCAGTTAACTAATATGATCCAAATGACCAATGCATAATGTTACAAAATTATGCTTGGTTAAAAATCCATTCAAATTGTAAAATATAAAATATACCAATGGATATTAATATAGCAGAGCATACTGAATTAATTCACTGCTATGGCTTCAGATTTTACACCTCAATAACGTCAAGAAAATATCACTTGTCAAGTTTTAATGTAGTATTAAATAAAAATATCCACAGTTTTCTGTAAAGGTTATTGAAATTCTCTCTTTTCCAATTACCTATCTGGGTAAAGCTAGATTTTCTTTATACACTTCAACCAAAAGACCTGAATAGATAAAACTGATTCAGCAGCAGATATGAAAATTCAGCTCTCTATGCTAAGCTAGATAGTTTTTAAATTTGCAAATAAGATGCTACACTTTTACCTTTTTTTGGAAATGGTTATTTGCATAAAAATATTGATGTTACCATATGATGGGGTTCCTATTGTTATTTTTAAGTCAATTAACATTTTTAAAAGCTCCCATTTATTGGTAAATTTACTGATATTGGTAAGTATCAGTAGATATAACTACATAAACAAAAGCTCTTTGGTGGTCCTCAATAATTTTTTAAGAGTAAAAGAAGTTCTGAGACTAAAATGTTTGAGGACCACTGATTTATCTGTATAGTTCTACAATGCTGACCTTTGGATTATTTAATATCCCTATTTTCCACTTACTGGGCAGAGAGTAAATTAGGTAGCACTGTAGTTATAAAATATGAAAAACAGAGTATTTGAAATCTCCCCCAATAAAATAAAGTCTGTGTTCCTTACAAGGTCACCTTACAAGCTATACACGCCTAAAATTTATTCTGTGAATTGTAAACAGAAAGCAGTTCAGTTCTGCAGTTGAACAACATACTAGTTTCCATGTGCTAAACTGAATATTATCTAATCTACTCCAAACTATTACTTGAGGTACAAACAATATACAATTTCATGGAAATGAAACCACTGCCAGATAACCCTACATCAGTATAGCCATCTTTTAGTCCCCATTTATCTTCCATTTTCAAGACATTAACCCTGTCATTTTAAAAAATGTAGTATGTTATGCAGTCTTACCAGCATTATAGACGTGAGTTTATTCACAAAAACTCTTTCAAGTTAAAGATATTAAAGAATTATTTGTAATAAAACAACATCATTTAACTCATTGGGTCCCAGAATGCTACCAACATTTGTGTCATGAGGAAAAAAAGGCAAATTAATAAAAATGTGTATATCTCAACATAAGATTGAAATAGTCCATTTTCTCAATCACAAAACCAAGGAATTTTTCACTTTAATAAAGCATCTGTTGATGGCTCTGTCTTCATGAGAATGCAGTGGTAGTTTGCTGATGTTATTACTATTACATCTAAATAAATAGGTATATTAATATGTATTTTGCATTAAAAAAAAACCAAATAAACCAAACCTTGTCATCATCAGGAGGAAGAATGGTTAAAAGAGCATATCTACCTAAAACTTTCTAATATGAAAAAGAAATTGTGTTAAAATGTCTCCTTCTGAGTATTGAAATATGCAACTTTGGAATATCTCTCACATAAAAAGGCTGAGGAGCATGTTCCATTTTCTCCCTCCTTTATCGAGGGCATAGAGGGGTTAAAACTGTGTGGTATACAGTTAGAGCACTGGGGTTTAAATACCAGCAAACACTGAGCAAGGTACTTAACCATTGTGTTCCTCAGTTTCCTTATCTGTAAAATGGAGACAGTAATAGCAATTACCCCATAGAATTGTTGTACAGGCTACCTGAAAATATTACATATATAAAATAATATTAATTATATAACAATACAAATATTTCTTAAAACAATGCTTGATACATAATAAGCACTCAATAGATGTGAGTTATTATTATTAAGTATTATTATTGTCTAATTCTTTAAACCACAAAACCACGGTATCCAGGGCTGACAAGGACAAATGGTAGATGTAGGAACTTACACAACATTAAAATTTCTTTGGTGGAAGGAAAGAGAGGGATATATTTACTAAGTAACAGCTAATGTAAATGATAAGGCTTAAAAAAAGTAGTAAGCATTTAAATGAATTTAGAAATAACTATCAATACATTGTAAAGTACTAGGTCAAAAAATAGTTATACTATTAGAGTTTATAAAATTTCACAGAATGTCCATAATAACATAAGTATATATTATTTTTAGGAGATTAAATAATGCTAAGAGATCAGTGGGCACTGAAAATAATGGTTTGGTCAGTTATCTGTGTTTGAATTAGTACCTTCTGCCTAAAGCTTTGAAACTAAGAAAAGAAACAGTAATTTCTAGGAACATAAAAAACTAAAATAAAACAAAAAATATTGCTTCCTCATGTGACACTGGGGGCATATCTAACTTAGAAAAAATTAATTGTTGGATATTAATTATTATAATATATTGAGTATCCAGCATTACTACCATGTAACACTTTAGAATTAAAAAGTGCAGAATTCAACCATTTGTTAAGCACATACAGATGAACTAAGCACTAGGCTGAATACTTGGGAAACAAAGATGAATGAAATATAGCCCCTGCTTTAAGAAGTTCACAAACAGTGTAAACGAATAATTCAAATATCACGAAATAAATGCTTAGAAGAGATCTGAACGGAGTGCTCTGGAAGCCTTGAACAAGACATGACTAACACCCTGGCGACACCAGAAAAGACTTCAAGGGGGAGGTAACCTTTTGAGCTGCACTTAAAGGTGGACAAAGAATTTTCCAGAGTGAAGGAAAGAAATTACAAATATAGGGAACAACACATGTACAGAAAATATAAGTGATGAGTCTGGAGGATAATGACATTTCACGTGGCTGATGCACTGAGTGCCTGAAAGAAAATGAGGCAGGTCTCAGATGTGTCCGACTGGGTCTCCTGGGCCTTGGGCAATCCTGTGAGCAATGAGGTTCCAGTAAAGGTGTTCCACCAGAACAGGTGACAAATCGGCTTAGTTTCTCAGAAAAACTACTCTGGTGCTTCTGAGGAGGATGCACATTAACAGAAGACAGCCTGATACTGAACCTGCTAAATAAGAACTCTGTTGAGCCACTCTTCTTTCCTTGAGAATAGCTGCTTTAGCAAAAAAGTCTCCAAACTGGCCCTGGCTGGTATGGCTCAGTGGATTGAGTGCAGGTCTGTGAACTGAAGGGTCACCAGTTCGATTTCCAGTCAGGGCACATGCCTGGGTTGCAGGCCAGGTCCCTAGTCAGAGGTGCACAAGAAATAACCACACACTGATGTTTCTCTCCTTTATCTCTCTCCCTTCCCCTCTTTCTGGAAATAAATAAATAAAATCTTTAAAAAAAATTTAAAACAGGAAGTGTCCAAACTGATGATTATCAAGACTAAAGGAACCAAAGTACATACACAAATACATTATATTAATGAATAATTATAATGGTCTCATAGAACATTGTTAATAATATAACAACTATAATAAAACAAATATTCACCCCTAAAACATAAGTAAAATATTTTTAATGACAAAAAATTATGTATACTCCAAAATATGAAGTATAAAGTAGTTTTACTTTTGCTTCTTTATACTTTCGGGCTCTCTTCTAAATTTCCACAATAAGCAAGTAGTACATTTATAATCAATAATAAATTTTAAAAGCACATTGTTCACTGCATTTTATAAACAATTATCTTTACAAAAATCTTAAAACTAAAATATTACCTTTTTGTCTCCTTGTTTTCGTCTTCTTAACCCTGGTCTATAATCATCTCCAAATCTCAGAAAATAATAGTAAGAAACTAGCCTCTCAATGGGATCCCTTATGACATTAATGTAAATTGGCTTCTTTTTTACGCCAAATCTGAAATAAAGCAAAATTTAAAAGGTGAAATCAACATTTTCATTCTATTTAGTGGTATGCTGAAATTAAGTATTCACTCTAAATGAAAGAACGATTAATTTAAATAAAATAGACTATGTGGAGACTAGGAAATATTTTATGATTATTTATGTTACAATAAAGTAAATACAACATAGGAATTTAAAAATCACGGTTGATGATAAAGGAGAGGAGGAAAAATTAAATGAAAAATAATTTAAAATTTTACTGACAAAATTACATGAAACATTTTATTTTTATGTAGCAATGATTTTTCAGTTTTTGGCCCATCAAACTAGATAAATGTTATAAATGGATATAGCATAAGTCCAAATAAGTATAACCATTTGAATCTGCTTTTTGCTATTGCTAATATTAAAGTTAAGAAAGAAGTGAAAGACATTATGTTTTCAGCATATTTCCTCATGTAATTAACTGAAGGAACACAAGTCTTTTATACTAGCAACCTTTGCAGGCCCTAGAATTGTCCAGTGGCTCCCAATTTTAATTGTCCTAGTCTTGAAACCTTATCCTGACCTTCTTAGTATAGTTACCAAGTCCTTTTGATTTTTCCTTTTGTAGGCTTTCTCACAGATTTGACCTTTCTTTGTCAATGATTCTGTTTCCCTTCATCACTGCCCTCTCCCTAGGTCTCTTACTTAGAATACAGCAATAATCTAGTTGGTTTTCTTACATCCAGTCTCTCTCTCTTTAAATTTACCTTCCATGACAATTCTCAACTGATATTCTTAAAACTCCATTTGTTAGATCACTCTTCTTTGAAAATGGAAGTAACTCTACGATTTATGTTGACATCAAACACAAACTCCTTTGCCTTGCTGTTAATATCTCTTTGCCTTATGTTTTAGCTACCACCTTATTGATCTAACTTTATTTTCAAATAAGAGAACATCAATCTGTTATAATTTGGCCTGTCTCTTCTACTCAGCTCATATTACTATTTCTTACTATACTTCTTCCTATTTCTTCTTACATGCCTTTGCTCATTGTCTTTCTTAACTAGAATGCCATCCTTATTTTTCTATTACATAAATTCATTCAAAACATGCTTTTCTGTATACCTAATATATGCCATGGACTATTCCAATACTAGGGATATAGGCGTAAAAAAGAAAAATTCCTTGCCCTCTGGAGCTAACATTCTACTTGGGGGAGACAATAAAAACAAATAAATAAGCCAGTATGTCTGATGGCAAAAAGTACTACAGAGAAAAATAATGCAGTGAAAGGGAATAGGGCCTGCTGGGAGAGTTGGGGAGTGGACAATTCAAAATAGGTTTTTTCAGGAAGACATCACTGGCATTATATGATAAGAAGGGAGCCACGTAGATATCTGGAAGATGGTGCTCCAAGAAGATGAGACTACCATGAAGGCCCTGAAGCAGCTAAGTAGCAGGCATTTTTGAGACACAGCAAGATCAATCTGGGTGCAGCAGAATCAGAAAGTGGGTATTAACCGTATGAGAATAGAGAGATGGGGGTCGGGCAGAGGAAGAGCAGATCATGTGGGCCTTGAAGGCCATTATAAGAATTGGGAGGAAGGCCTAACTGAGTCAGCAGAGAAGTGTCACGATATGGGACCGAATGTATAGCAAACTGCCTATACTTAACAATATTATACAATATACTTGAAAGTTGCTAAGACAGTCAATTTTGAATGTTCTCATAACAATAACAAAAAGGTAACCACGTGAGGTGAAGGATGCATTAACTAAGCTTTTTGTGGCAAACATTTCACATCTATCAAATCATCACATTGTATACCTTAAACAATTTTATATATCAACTATATCTCAATAAAGCTGGTGGAGGGGGCACTGGCTGCTGTTTCAGAAGAAACTGTAGCGGGGCAATGAGGAAATCTTCTGACATCTAAAAGCCTTCCTGATGACTCCAGCAAACAGTGCTATTTGCTTTCATTTCTCACCTGTACTCAGGAGGAACTGCTATCAGGTAATTTCACTCTTAGCTTGTCCTACTAAGCATTTCTCTTATGAGTCTTTCCTCCCTAACATCACGATAAGCCATTTGAAGGTAGGCACAGCACTTTACACTTTTATATTTCACAGAACCTAGTATACACAAATACTTGTCTACTGATTAGTACTACTTTGAAAGATTAGAAATATTAGCAACCTCTCTTAAAATGAGAACCACAATGAGATATGATAGACTTAAGCCTAAGTTGTGTGATTTGGAGTAAAAGACAGTGCAAGTCGCTTCTTCTTTTGACCACTTTTGATATACTCAGTCATCTGCCCACAGAAACCCTCAATTCAGCTAATAGCTTATAACTTAAATTTCCTTTCTTACTAAAATCTTTTCCCAAAGACACTAAAAAGCATAGGGCTAATCAATATCATATTTTCCCTTTACTTCTGTCTATTACAATCAATGTCTTACACAAACTGCATTCTACAGGTGTTTCATACTAAATTCTTAAGTAAATGAGCAGTGAAAAAGAGACCACAGAAGAAAAAATCAAGGAGCCCAGATAACTTGATTATTTCAGCAAACTACTGAAAATTAACTGAACAGGAAGTTTCTAATTTACAAATATGTTGTATTCTGTAAGAACTGCTTTGCAGGTAGTAAAAGGGGGTCAGCTCTCTTGAATTCTAGTCCTTTTATCCTCATTAAGTAGCTCTAAGTCAGTAAATTCTTTGTACATATGGAAATACTGAAAACTATAGAGAATTCTTCTACAAAACATTATTATAACAGTTGTGAGTTCGTAGACCAGAACTTGGTATGCATTTTTTTACTGAACAGCTCATAAAGCTGTAAAACCAATAATGCAATAAAATTTTTTCACAGTTTTTTAAAAGAGGAAATAGTATTGCTGCAAATATAAGGCATTGTCACATTGAGTATTAGAGCAGAAGTTCCATGAGGTTAGGGACTGTTTCCCTCTTATTCGTGGCTTTGGCACTATTGCTGAGCATGGCGCTGGACACACAGGTGTTGGAAATCAGTAGAGTTAGGCTGAATAAACTGTTGTGAATTAGCCACTTACAAAGCCTTTCTGTGGGAGAGTGTACTCAGTACTGAGAAGAAGGTGGAGAAGCATCAGGACTACCTAGCTGCTACCGTAACTGAGAGTGCTGAATCTGCAAGAAAGGAAAAGCACCGATAATGGGGCAACGACTCTGTTCTTAAAACTGTGGGATTCCATTAGCTGCTGACCAGCCCCGAGCCAGTCCCTGGGGAATTACCTTCTTCCCAGAAGACTATCTCCCACCAAGCTTCCTCTTTCCCCTTTTCCCTGATTCCTGACGTGTGGAACTGGCAGCAATTCTTAGCAAGTAGCAGAGAAAAGGGGATATGGCACTTTATAAAACTCTTTCTTGCTATTGAGAAAACAACTTCCTGGGGCATGGCTTTGGGTGATGTGTACATGTATGATTTTTAAGGAGATAATGTCTGTGAACTTATTCTGAACTTACTATTTGTAAGTTAGAGTATGGTTACAAAAAAACAGGGAAGCAAGAGGTTATAACTGAAAATGGGCACAATAAAAGTAGTATCTTTTCAACTACTTTCAACTCAGATGTTTAGGAAACAGCATCCTTTTAGGTTTGTAGGTTTAATTCTTCCAGCAACCAGGTGGTTTTATACAGAAGGAAAAAATATGTTCTGTGGTCGCTGATTCCACCTTTAACCCTGGCCAGTCACCTGAACTGCTCCTCACAAGGCCTCAGGTAGAAGAACAGAAAATCTGTCTTCATTCCAGGAAAATAAACTATTATTGATCTGTTAGAACATGATCTTCCTGGAAAGAGAAGAGCATATTTAGTAAGAACCTAGGATTTAAAAGGGGAAAAGTATAATCTGAACAGCAGGTTGGTAAAAAGACGTTTTATTCTTACCATGCCAGCATATATAGTAAACAAGGAACATAAACAAGGCACATTTCTTTACAACTGTAGTCTTATACATAGTTTGCATGGATGAATGAACATCAAGAATGGTTAAAAGAACAAGCGCGTAGTCAGAACATCCGAAGGGAACCTTGTCAACTGGCTAGACAAACCTAAATGGATGATAAAGCTGAAAGAGGGCTGAATAGCCTTTTGGAAGCATTATGCTTTGAGATTTCTGCTTTATACTATATTTAACATTTCTAGTTAAATAGCAGTCTCCCTGGGGACATGGGTATCTTATACATAGTTGTTATTTATTCTGGAGTCTCTGAGCCAAAAAAAAAAAAAAAAAAAAAAAATCATAGAAACTTCCATATCCTTCTAGTTTCAAAAATAGAGAATGACCTGTTGGTATATGTTGGTGCCACTAATGATAATGTGGCAAATAAGTGATTTTTTAAAAGTATTTATCTCTTAAAATGGGCATCCACCACAGAGAATGGCCCAAATTAAAAAAAAAAAAAATAACGTCTAACAATATCATATGCTGGGCTGAAGATGCACAGCAACTGGAACTCTCATGTACTGTTGGTGACACTGCAAAATAATGCAGCCACTTGGAAAAACATTTTGGCAGCGTCATCGAGTTGCCACATACTCCAGCAATCCCACTTGTAGGTTTTACCAAGGAGAGGTGAGGGTGTAACTGTCCACACAAAACCCGCATGCAAATGTTTTGGCCTCTTTACTAATAATCACCAAAACCTAAAAATAACCCAAATATCCAGAAACTGCTGAATGGGAGAAATTGTGGTGCATCCATACAATGGAATACTATCTAGTAATGAACTAACTACTGATATACATGCATCAAATTGGATAAATGTCAAAAGCATTATGCGAGTGAAAGAAGACTGACTCAAAAGAATTGGCGACTAATTAGATACATGTGGTGGAAAAAAGGGTTGCCCAAGATGACTCTAATTTCTTGCTTGGACGTCTTGATAAACAAAAATGGGTAAACTTCCCAGACGAGAACAATGAAGGTAAAGACAGAGTCTTGAGCAATGCTTTATTAAGGGTTTGAAAGAAGAAGGGCCAGCAGATTCTAGCAGGGAGAAAACGAAAACCTCAAGACAACTTGGTACCTGAAAGAAGAGAGAATTTAAAAGAACAAAACACTGCTCTCTGTGAGATGCCAAGCTAAGTGCTTCACATACATTATGGTAGTTACATCAATTATCCTCCTTTTTATAAGTGGGAAAACTGAAGACCTGAGGTAATGTAGCTGAGACCACAGAGTTGGAAAGGAATTGTGTAGATGTAACTGCAGCTCTGACTTCAGAGATTGCTCCTTCCTGCCTACGGGACCAGTGCTGCACAGAGAGCTGGCAGTACAAGGTCAATACAAATGCAACTCTCACATAGTGCCAGTAATGATGAAAATTATTTTAAAAATGTTTCTCCAGTGTTATGACATATATGTTGAAAGCTGCAGAAAATGGTGCAAATTCCAACTGGTTCATATGAGTCTATGTATGGACAAACTCTATTTAGGCCTAAACCACGGTCACTTGATCACTCTCTAGGATATTTCAGACCTAGTGAAGCATTTACTTGTTCATTTCTTATCCTGATATATCTGCTTTTTTACTGATTCACTGCAATTGTTCTGCAAGAGACAGCAGGGGTGATATGGAGAAACCAAAACGACGGTGATGAAAACCCATACTCATTCCCGGGGACAACCACAAAGGTACACACCTGATGTGCGCGTGAATAAAACTGGCTGCTGTATCAAATGTAATTTCCCAAGTCTTTCCAAAACAGATGCTGGCATGGGACCTCTAGGTCACTAGATTATTAAAAAATCTTAACAGAGCCTGATAAAAACCAGCATTAAAATAGTTTTCTTTTAGATGAACATTATTCAGTAGAAAGAAAATGTTACTGAAAGGTTTTTGAAACCTCTAATGTTTCTTTTGTATCATTTGAAGAAAATCAAAATGGGGGTAACAGATGCTGCTGATCAATGAATAGTATGAATTTAAAAAGGAGGGTAATCTGTAATATTTTCACTCTTTATAAAGAAACACAATGAACTGGTAATTATAGAAAAAATGGGGTTTCAGGGAACTCTTTGAGGATAACAACTACAACTTATTTAACTTTATATTGCCTATACCCTAGGACAATTAGAGAATGTCCAACCTACACAATTCCTTAACTGAAAAATTTGCACAATAGGCCTGCAAATAAAATGTGTGTTTCTTAGTAATCAGTCTAAATGAAAAAGCACTTCTCATTTTTTATATCGTTATCTTATTTCCTGGGTTTCCTGAGTTTACACTCTTTTTAGTGTCTCTCCTAATGCCATTAAAAAGCTATGTGATTAAATATTTCTTTCACCAAATTTGACCGTTTTCTCCTTCAGGCATGTATTTTAATGGACTCCACAAGGTACTATGCCAGTCAAGAATATGTTTTGAAGACTAAAGTATTTCAAAAAATTTTAAGATGTTTCTTTCTTCTTTACAAATTCATGGTAAGTATAGCTATCAAACTAAAAATTACTTTAAAATATACTAGTTACATCTACAATAGCTCTTGACTACATATATCAAAATATATTTCTTCTAATTGATTTTTTAGGTATTTGTTTAAAATCTTGTAAAAATCTATTAAAAATTCTCACAATACTTTTCACTTCCTCACTTCCAATAACATGAAACCCATTATGAAAGTATTCAAACCCTTAAACGTTCATGTTTGTATTTAATAAATGAGATTAATTTTTTTTCAAGCAGCTTTATACTTCTTCAAATGCAAGAACTCTAGCATATATCATCACAGTTTCGTTCTAAGTACAAGATTTTTGCCAAAAGCAAAAGTGCTCTATTATTTTAATAATGAAAACCTCAAGTATTAGAAACCAAGTTCTGTGTGGAAAAAATAAATCATTTAGGTGAAAGGGTAACAAATATTCAACTGAAGGATAATGCAGCCCTGAGGGGAAATATGCATATGAATGAAGTTTATGAAATTGGTTCAATGCCTCTGCAAAGAAAAAATAATTAGTTTATTTTAAATATGCCTATAAAATGTTTTCAATATTGCAATATGAATTATTTATAGAAAAGTGCACACACATCTAACTTTAGAACTACCATTGTATTGAAGATCTTGAATACCATGAGAACAATTAGAAATAAGAATATAGTGTTTTGTATATGTGATATTTGGGAGATTCTCTTTTATTTACATGCTTTTCAAAAAGTTAAGACTTATTCTCAATCTAAATCAATAACATTTCATTCGACATTTTCTTTTCAAATTTAAGAAATCAAATTGACAGCAGAATATCAATTTAATTTTTAAATTTTACCCAGAATGGTCCTTAAAGTTGACACGTATAATTTTGAAGTCATGGCTGCTTATGAAAAGGCTAAGCAAACATGTCTAAGCTTAAATAATTCTTAAATATATTTTTAATGTTTTTGAAGTCGGTGCAGAAATTTATTAGGGAAATGATTTGGATTTGGGATTTTGCTATAATGGTGCTCTATGGTATTCAAATGGGATTCACAAGCTGCCTGTATTCAGAATATTCCTTTTGACCAGTTTTCTGATTAGGACTTAATGCAGCTCAGACTCCAGGGGGAGCCTCACAGTGCGTGGATGTTGTAAGTAGGCCTCTAGTCTTATAAACTTTTCTTGAGAGAATTACAATAGAAATACCCTGATTCTACTTCTCTCATAAAGTGTGGAAAATGAGTGTTATTCATCTCCAGTTTCAGACAAATAACTATGAAGAAAAATAAAGGAAAACCACTGTATTTTTAAAAAGTCTCTTTTGAATATATCACACTTTTAAACCTAAAACAAGGCAGCCCAAGGGAATATTGACTGTGTCTTGGCTGAGCAGCAGAAGCACTGCGGCACCAATAACTGAGTAATGGCTTCTGTGCTTTCTCAGGTTCTCTATCAATGACATAGTAAGTCATAATCTGACTGGCCTCTAGGTTAAAACGTGGGGCTCTCTTAAAGTTTCATTTGATTGTGTAAGAAACATAAATACAATAATGATAGGTACCTTTAAAGAGTATTACCTAAATTTAATCTACCTAGAATTTCTGAAATTATTATGACAATTATCAATTTATGAACACTAGAGGGCAGTAAAACACCAGAAGGTATATTCAAATTACATCTCTAAATGGAGCAAAGGCAAGCCAGTACTTTTTTTATAAAAAATCAAAATCATAACAATTTATTGAATTTATTCATTTTAGGTTGCTAAAGTACAAAGCATTCTTTGGCATGTAATTTTTGGTATAACTTACTTTGCAAAGTCCAAATAAGAAACATGACCATGATAAAATCCTGGTTTCATCTCTTTCCAGGAAGTAATATTCTTCACAAAACGCACCTAAAACAGGAGAACACACTCATTACTTAAGTACAATTTTAATAAAATGAAATTTAATGCTAGCAAAATACTTTCCATGTAGGCATTGAAAGCCAATCACACCAGTTTGACAATTACAGAACTTAAAACACAGGTATGGATAGTATGGCCTATAAGTACTAATTCATCATAGAGAGGGCTATCACCGCACTCAGGAAGGAGTAAAAGAGGACTCTAAAAACAAAATCGCACAATGCACTCATTTGCAATGCCGTACTGTGAGTATATTCACATGGGGCGAGGGGAGAGTGGGCCCCAGCATGATAAAGCAGGCAGCACTAGGGGACAGGAATACTCCATTCAAATCTGTTTCCTTCTCAGACACTTGTTATTCCTGAAAATCCATTTTCATTAACAACTAAACAAACAAATTAATTGCTAAACCGAAATGATTAATGAAAACATGATGATTATCAGGAGACTTTAAAATGTGAAGAGCAGATCTCGTAAGTTTGTTGATAATGTGGGAGGTGGGGGTGGGTAGGGTGGGAAAGAGTAATGGGGGGAAATGGGGATAGCTGTAATTGAACAACAGTTAAAAAAAGGAAAAGAAAAAGAAAAAGAATAAAATTAGAGATGTGATATAGGTAAAATAAAATTTTTTAAAATCTAAATATTGCTCTTTTAATTCCCTAGAATTAAAAGTATACAAAAAATTAGTTAATATAAAAAATTCTCAAAGTGTAAATATATTTAAAAAATTTTAAGAACTGTTTAATACAGAACTTGATAAACATAAATATTACCAGCTGCAGAGCAGTGACATACAATTTCTCAGGAAAACAATATTTACATACAAGGTCTGTCCAGAAGGTATCCAGACATATAATATGAAAAACAGAAACATTTATTGGAGAAGATACGGGACACAAGAAACATTGTACATAGGACAATGACACCTCAGTCCCTTCAAAGTAGGCACATTGGGACCTCACACACTTTTCCTGGTTGCCCTCAGCTGCCCTGTCATATTTTTCTGAATCTCATCAACATTCTGAAATCTCTGCCCTTTCAAAGATGATTTTAGTTTTGGAAAAAGACAGAAGTTGCTGGGTGCCAAATCTGGGTTGTAGGGAGGCTGAGTGCCTGGGTGATTTGATGTTTCACAAAAACATTCTGCAACAGACATGATACATGAGCTAGTGTAATGTGTGGTGAAGCTGCCAATCACCAGTTGCCCATAGCTGCATCCTTCTGAACCATCCAAATAGTTTCCAAGAAGGGATGTTCAAGCTTAATGCAAAATTTGATGCAGATGCACTGCTCTACTCACTCAGTCATTTTGAATGCAACAGCTACACTGTACACATGCTCACTCAATGGCATCTACTGCCCTCACTGACTAGCACAGTGAAGCCGTCATTGTTCACGCATGCGCATTCCAGTCCACTCGCCCTGGCTGTCAGGTTACATAACTGTCTCACAAACCACTCATTATATTAACAATGGCTCGATTTTTTTCCGGACAGACCTTGTATTTTTGATAAGGAAACGTCTACCTGGTGAACACCAAGTGGTTAACACTCTCTCCTGGAGACTAGATAGTGTGGGGGTAAAGTAAGAGATAGGGATGAGGTGAGGGGTGGTGGTCCACCGCCCTGTACTGAATTGAAAGCACCTATAAACTATGACTTCAGCCTCCAAAGCAGAGGATTGTTAATAGGATACTTTTAACAATTTATCAGTCTTTCATTTACATGTTAGAATAAAGTTAGTTACATGAAGATATCCTGGAGCATTTTCTAGCAGATTAATCAATAAGTTAATAGCAATGAATGATGATGGCTGCCTCCCGGTTAAGCGCTGTTGCAGGCCAGGGAAGGGAAACAGTGCAAAAGTGGCAATGTCAGAGAATGTAAACTAGAGAAAAATGAAAGTTTCTGGAAGTAAAATGTATTTTTTAGGGGAAGCATTAATAATTCATATTCTAGAGAAATAATGGAGTTTTTAGAAGGGTAATTAAATGAACCCTGTCTTTTTATCTTCCTTTCACACACACTGACATAATCTTGAAATAAAATCTGAAAATTGAATGTAGCTAAAATTATGTTGCATCAGAAAATATTTTAACAGTTATTTTCAATTTCTCCCCACCAAAACAAAGAGCCAAATAAATATGTGATTTTAGGTTCGTATATTCTTTCCAATTTGTTCTTCAAGTAAGGTACCACACAGAATGAAAATAACAAACAGCAAATGAATATGAAACAGAAAATAAAAGATCAGATAACCTAAAAACCGAATCCTTAAAAAATGTTATATGTTGAATATCGAAAGTCCTTGTAACTGTCACTTAATGGTAAATTATTTCATATAAGGCTTTGGTTGTATAAAAATAAGTTCCAGTATTCCAGCCCAAAATTGGGGAAATAGAAAGCAAAGAAAATGGGAATGGAGCAGGTGACTCAAGAGTGCTTAATACACATTTAGCAACTCAGCTTTATTTTTCAAAAGCTGGTATTTCCGATGGATGTGATAGTGTAAGAAGGAAATGAAAGGAGACATTAGTTTGAAGTCTGAGAAAACAGTGTTACATAAACCAAATATTAGAGAAGATCATGACAGTACAAACTTAAAGTACACTGTTGTGAAAGACTCAGGCAGAAATAAGTGTAAGGTAGAAGCTTCGAGTATCCTTTCTTCTACCCTTCCTACGAAAGGTCAAGATTAAACTAAACCTTTCCAAGAACACACTTCATTCAATGTGTGTCCTTCAGCGTGAGATAAAAAGAGCCCAAGAAAGCTGGATAATGCCTGTACTGCTTCGGGGCTTCCCGAACTTCAACATGCAAACGACTCTCTAAAGTGCAGATTCTGATTCCGTAGGTCTGGAGCGGGGCTGAGATTCTGCACTCCTAAAAAGTCTCCACGTGATGGCCAGGTTCATGGGCAACACTGAGAAGCAAGGCTTCCTTCAGATTGAGTAGGCCCAGGAGCCTACCTCTTGGTTTTATAATGTGAGGCTTGTTTTTGTAGCGCTTGCAAAGGTGGCCTTAGGTCTACAGAAGGTCCTTAGCAAGGATACTCACTTTTTTTATGATATGGAAAAAAGAATACTGAATAGAGGAAAATTATTTAAAGAGTATCTATGAGGCCACTGCAGAATATAAAACAGAAGGGGCGTCAGGAGCGGAATGAATCCTGACCACTCAGTCCCCTCCTTCTACCCTCACACAGTGATACATGAAGTACATAAGAGCCTAAGTATTCCGAGAAATACAGTTTGAAAACTAATGAAATAAGGATTGTGTTCCTAGTTGGATTCAGGGAAGTTTAATAAAGAGAGGGCAGAACAAGGCATGAATCTTCCGCTGCTGTCATCTCACAACCTCTTGTTTACAGAGCAGTATTTCAGCGGTAAAGAGATCTAGGATATCCTGTACTGTTTATTTCATACACGAGGAAACTGAAGCCCAAGAACCATGTACTTTAGGTTTTGGTCCATCCCTCTACACCTCCAGCTAATTTCCTTAAACTTACTATTGTCCATTTACACAAGGGATAAAACAAACAAAAAAATAGAAGAATCTGAAAGGACAGGAGAGCAGCCATCATTCATCTCATGATTCTGATTTAAAAACCTGGACATTGAGAACTTCAGGTTTTATCCACTATGGAAAACCCACAAATCCAATCATTAAAACTCCTCGACCTCCAAGATTTCAAAGTTCTGTTGATATGTCTCTCAATTGCTTATTTTCCTCATTACGTTAATTATAATCTCAACTTCCAAACCATCCTGTTCACTACTCTCATACTGGACAAGCATTTTCCAACCACGGTCACTGACTGATTCTCGTCCTTTTTATAGTCTTGGGTAAATGCCGGCGTTGCTGAAGACTGTGTCAAAACTGAGTCATAGTCTAAATATCCATGTAGGACTTTTGAATTTTTTTTCCCAAACTCATTCTGAGGTGAATTCAGGTGTGTTAATGTTGCTTTTAAATTCTCTACACTTATTGCTAAAATCTCCAAAACACGCAGAACCTTTCTCTAATCTCCAACTAATAGAATACTGAAGGCTACATACTTGATGCATATGTATTTTTTTCTATCTCATGAACATTTAACTAAGGCAATATGTTAAAGTCTCATTAATAAAACTGTGGCTGACTTACAATCTGCAATAAATCAAAAGACGCTGAGTTGAGATTTACCTTCCCTTTATAGGAAAGAAAAAAGCTCTAAGTAAACAAATGATGTCAATAAAGTTGAAGCAGCCCTTCACACTGATCTGGAGAATATAGTCTGAACATTCTGAAGTGTCATTTACACACTACTGAAAGTCTATATGATCCTAATCTCTTCTTCAAAAGTGGTTTCCGAGGACATAACCAACTAAATAATCCTCTTTAAAGAACAGTTTTCTTTTCAAAGTATTAATTTAGCCAATTCTCCTTTCAGCCATGTTTAATACTTATCCTCTTAGTTCTCAAAATTTTCCATCTCTCCCCTCTTCACCTTCATTTTTCTCCTTTAATCAATTAGCTACAGTTCCTGGTCCATTACCTTTCCCTGCCTTCTTACCTTTCCTACAACACCTGACCTGCCTTTCAGTTTGCCTTCTTCAATTTTTTTACTTTTTTCTTTTCCTCTACAGTGAAGCATTCTGCCCAAGACCTTGAGACAAAGCTCTGGAGTATCAGGGAGCAAGAGGAAATGGAGAGTAGGTGAGCCAGCTTCTACTTGGTTCATTTTATGGATTCTTACTATACTTGGCAATAATGAAGATAAAATGATAGGCAAAAAGGAGCAAAACTAATAACTTCAAATGAAGTTAGGGAGGCTGAAGACACTGAAAACTCTGGCTTGGGGAGAAAAAAATAGTTACCACACTTACTTTCTTTATTCAAAGAGAATTTCCATACTCTGATTAAAATAGGCTGTCAAGAAGGATGTTTCAGCAGTAGATAGACATAGTAGATGAAAAGAGATGTTTTTATGCCTAGCCTACAGCAGAACCTAAACTGTAATTTTTGTCAGATTTTATAACTGAAGGAGAGTCAGGCTAGCAAGTATTCAGAAAAGACTTTCAGGGAAAATATAAGCAATGTGGGCAGTGGGGTTGTGATTTATTTGCTGGTTAAATCAGACCTGAACCTGTGCTACAGGAAAAAGCTAAGAAAGCACCGTCTCACTAACAGCGTATCTAGACCTATTCTTAATAAGATTAATCTCAACATTATGATTATCTGTGATCCCAAAAGAACTTGTTTTCACTATCTGAAAGTAAAAATGCCATTCTGAACATCCTGGACAAATTTGAACTTTGTAATTAATACTGATTAAATGAGTACTACTATTAACTTGGGTAATTACTATACACTGAACTCCTACTCATGCATATACTTAAAATAAGAATTCACTGTATAGCGTGGGCAGTTTTATGAGACTAAACTAGAGAAGGAGTTTTTGACACAAAGAGGAAAACTGAGTAATTGTTGGGTAAAAATGTAAGAAGGGTCACCAGCAGTAGAATACAGTATCTTCACTACAGTTCAGAACTATATTATTCAACCTTTTTTTGGTGGGAAGATGGTGGGGGTGTTCCAAATCACCTAAAGTAAGGGTGGATTATACTACTACCATCAATCAGAGGGGCTCGCTCCGACAGCAATTATCATCATGGTGTTATGCTCAGCTAACAAAGAATCAAAGCTGGTTCATTTGTTCATTCATTTAACAAGTTATTTAATATCTACTACGTTTCAGGCACTGTTCTTAAGCACAGGGGATATAGTACTGAACAAGACAGACAAGTTCCTGTCCTTAAAGACCTTACAACAGAGGAAAAGACAGACGACAAAGAAATAAATCGGTAAGTGATAGAAAAGATACAGAAAGAATGATGGTACACAGTAATTCGAAAGAGGTATTTTTATATATACATGAGGACAAAGTAAGGTTTTTCTAAGAGAACATCATTTAAGCTGAAACCTTACATGTATAACATGAAGCAAATCGTGAGAAGCCAGGAGAAGTGCATTCTAAGAAAAAATGGTGAACGCAGAGGTCTGTAAGTGGGAAAGGCTTGATGCATTCAATGAACCAAAAAGCCAGCATGGCTAGTATATAAGAGGTTAGAGCACAAGACAAGAGCTTACTAAAAAAATAAAAAAGGCTTACGGTTCCAGGTAAGGAATTTGGGTTTTGTTGGGGAGGTAGAAATAGGAATTTAAATATAAGTACCTAACCATCCTGAGGTTATAATGTGCATGTTCCCATAATCCCACTGAGAAGCATGTTCTAGATCTTTGCTGTTCAAACTGTGGTTCAAGACCTAGAAGCATCAGTTTTGACATCAAGTGGAAGCTATTGGTGGAGGTCATCAAAAAAACATGAGTGCTCGTTTGACCCACTCCAAGTCTGACAGGGACAACTGGAAGCTCCCACACCCTCCTCTGCGCTGGGACTGTGCGCTCCACTTGCCTTCCCCATGTTAGAAGCTGCCCGAGGACAACAGCCTTGGGATAGAAATATGGTGACGAGACTATCTGGACTGTACGTGACTAAATCCAGTTATTAAGGCCTCCTGTCTCTCCCTGCCCTTCCAGGATGGAGGCCGGTTTCAGATTACCTTCTAAGGAAGTTTCAATCCAACAGAAACTTTATAGATATCCAGAATATCAGGCTGCATCTTAGTCCTTCTGAATCAGAATGTGCATTTTAACTAGTGATTAGTATACACATTATAAGTTGAGAAGCACTCATCTACAGTGCTGTGCTGAAAAAACAGTATGTACAACTAATAGCAAACCATGGGATCTAATGCAAATGACCAGAAGTTGGCTTGACAGTGAATTCAAAGAACAAAAAGTTACTATGTTGTTCTACAAAGAGTGCAAATTCTACATATTTTCAATGTCGTAACAGAAAGGGTTTGTTAAGTACAATCGCGGACCTAAATATATAAAGGCACAAAATAATTAAGAAACATCATAAAAGATAGTACCACTTAACTATTTGGCATCGTTACTTTTAAAGACAAGATGTTCTCTAATGGACAGGTATTTTCATGACAGCAGAGTAGACTTCACTTTCCAATTAGAACAGCGGACTGAGTCCCTGTCTCCTGCCAATTCCTGTCTATTAACTGAGTAAGGCCCATCTCAAAAATGTATCCATGACTGAGTCTGCCTTATTCTTATTACTTAATATTCTCATGCCTTATGACCTGAGAATATGTTTATCTGATAATCTCCTTGTTCTTTTTCTCTTGTTTTATCCCAACTTAATTTCGAAAAAGTCCTTATCTATAGAACAGTTGATAGACTGTATAGCCAACATCTGCACAGCTTTCACCAAGATTCATTAACTGTTAACATTTTTTGCCACCTTTGTGTGTCTCTCTATATGTGTATATATGAATATATATATATGAATATATATATATATGTTTTATGTTCCAAGTAAATTATAAATAAGCTCCCTGAAAGATGTGACCTTGCTTTTATTTCTTTGGTATTTCCCTAAAGCCTTCGTACAATCTCTGTATATATGACATACTCAGTAAGTGAAAAAAGCAGAGCTGACAACTGTTTCTAAAATAGCAGAATATATGTAACTATTGCACTGACTAAAAATTGGGCTTTGCCTCTAAAATTTTTGAGAAAAATAATTATACATGTAAACAGTTTAGCACAATACACAGTATGTACACAGTACACCTGGGGAAGGGCTAGGGCTCAGTGCAGGGATTGGGCAGACGGAATGGCTGGGGGTGGAAGACGAGAGAATAGGATGGTCACCTACTATATCCCAAAATATTTTTATGAGTAAACTGGGCTTTAAATGAAAGATTGAGACAATGGCAGATTTAACAAAAATCTAATCTTTTAAGTCTCACAATAGCTTAAGTCAGCTATTGATGAGAAACTATTTCTCAGAGAAGAAGAACAAAATAGGTCATTTAATTCCTGTTTGAATAATAAAGCAGTTGAGAACAGTACACAAGAACAAAAACATGGTATTAAAATTAAAGTATGTGATGCAAAACAAGAAATATTTAAAAAATATTTTCAAGGCATCTGGTATAATTTAGAAGTTTACATTTAAATGAAGTTTACTAGATTGAATGTGAAATTAGAATGTTATCTAATATGTCATACGAAGGTCAGGGAAGCAGATGTCACTTATTTGAACAACTGCTTCTATATAGAACAAAACCAGTAAACAATTTAGATAAGGTATAGTAGAGAATATCTGGTATATAAGCCATTGCTAATTAAGGTTCTCAATGACCAGATGACATTTTGAAATGGTACATCAGCAAATGATTAAGACTATTCCTCTACTCTCCCCCAACAAATATAGTTTAAGTGTTGTTCATTATATTTCCTGAAAAAAAATCATCAATGTCATTGCCAGACATCTTATAGCTGCCAAAGAACTCTGTAATGCTGGGCACAAAACAACTCTAAAAATTAAACAAGCAAGCTAACTCTATCTTTCTAAAAAATATTACTAAAGAAATCTAACATTATATGAGCATTACCTAATGTCCCTTTTAAACCAAGATATATTCTGAAAAGCAATCATGCAAATAGATTTAAAATATACCAAATGCCATATAAAAACTGATTATTTAGGACACTTGCCTTTAGATATACAATATTACATAATGAATAATTTTTATGACCCACTTAGCTAAATAAGCTCATGTTCCTTCTCATTTTAGACAAGTTATTTGGTTTGGCTGACAGATGTAGATTTTTGGTTCTATGAAAAAGAGTAATTGAGGATACTGCAGAGAGCCAAGAATTAACAGGACAGATGATATCCTATATACTATCGGCCTTTACAAATGATTCTCTACTGATTATGGAAGGCGGACAGGGCTGGGTGGAGAGGATGAAGAAAAGGGGGACAACTGTAACAGCATGAACAATAAAAATAAAAAAAAATAATCCTAGGTGGTATTTCAAATATTATCTTTTCTTCTCATGGGGCATATATCCATTCTCTTCAATACTTGTAGGAAGAGCTTTATAATTATAGTTAGAACTCGAGGTGTGGAGAAAATGTGTGCTACTACTGATAAAGAGGTGAATGAATTTCATTTCATGAGATGATTTCTTCCACTTTTCTTAAAACTGCTCCATAAAATTATCTGTCCATCTGTTTATCTAAAATTTCTTGACAACTTAAAAGATTATGTTAAAATATAAGCCACAATCCCTGTTTTGCAGAAGTTTATATCTATTATTTACATAAATTACTAGTAAAGATAAGATGAAATTCACAAAGCTGAGCCATACAGAATACAGATACTCATCGAATAAAGATTTCTCTATCTTAAGCTAAGACAATATAATTCTTTTTTATTGCACAATCTCTTGCTAATAATACTGTATATTTTTAAAAGAATACCATACTGAAGAGCATCAACTTCTCTTCAAAAATTCAAACTATTAATTCATTTATTTCACAAGTATTTGAATAGATACTATATGCAAAGAAATTTACCAACTACTGTGAAGAATTTAAAGTTATAAAATATTTGGTTGACTCCTTCCCCCAACAGACTTACATTTCATTAGGATCAGCATATGTATGTATCCTTTAAAATGATTTATCCCCTTGAGATATAAAATTTGAGTGAGAGAGTGTTGGAAAACATGCATTCCTTAAGTGGTGTTTACCTGATCTTGTAGTGACATCACTGGATTATTTTTGGTAGTGTTGATGTGAAGAACATGGTATTTATTCTTTGCACACAAGTCATAGGCAATATTGGTAAAAGAGGTGCTTGCAGTTTTGGGGACTCTGTTATAAATGATCACCATGTCCTCTTCCTCATCTAAAGGGGCATCTTGCCGAGGGCCATCCATTGTATGACGCTGCTCAATTTCTCGGACTTCATGTCTTGCAATAGCCCTTTCTGCAAAGAAAAACAAATATAAACTCAGTTTTTAAAGAGACAATAAGGAAGTTACATACAAAACGGTGAAAATAATTTCCTATACCTGGAATATAATGTTCCTTTTCAAGGAATGAGTAAGAGCAGTTGAAGACATGTTTTGAGGAACAAACTACCCTTGAAGGACAATATATATGGCATATAAAAGAGAACAAAAGAATACCACAGACCAGACAGTTCTTCAGTGTGCTTCAAAAGTCACTTTTCAGTCTAATAGGATTTATAAAGCCTCCATTAGTCCTCAAATACACAAAGACAGATTATATGGAATACTGAAGTTCATAGTAAAAAAATGCACTTTGAAAATAGATCAGTTAAAATTTAATCAAAGATTTTGAAATTTATTACTTAGGATTTAGTTATTCCCTGGCTTATCAAAATGCAGCAGGGCAGTGATTATAAATGCTGGTATGATTTTAGGTAAAAAAAAAAAAAAAAAGTAGAAACAACACCATTACAAAACCTTTTTTGTTTTTGGTGTTGCATTATAGGTAAGTCCTGGCTATGTTTATTCCTTAAATCCCATAGTTCCTCTCATTCAAATCCCTGTCTACGACATGCTTTGAAAAGCAGTTACATTTTGCTTTCTACTACTCCCTATTTAATACACACTTTATCTTCAAATACGTTTTAGAATAATAGAGCAAGAAAGAGAAAAGAAGAGAAAACATCTCTCACAAGATCGCAAATCTCTGCACAGAAACAGCTGCTCACACACAGCCTGCACCTACTATCCCCAGATCTTCGTGTAAGCTACTGCTCTTGTCTTAAACACTCTTCCATTCTCTCTCTACCCCAATCTGCCAGGTGAACTCTTCAAACTTCACACTCAATTTCATTAACCCTTGCAAGAGAAGTATTATCTGCTCTCCCTAACTCGGTCAAATTATACACACGCATCTGGATGGGGGTGGGGGAGTAGGGATTGAGCAAAAAAGTAAAAACTCAGGGGCACGAACAAGAGTGTGGTGACTGTGGTGCGCGGGTGGTTGGGGGAGGTGGAGGAGGGTACAGGGGGATAAATGGTGATGGAAGGAGACCTGACATGGGTGGTGAACAGACAAATGATGTGCCATGGAACTGTGCACCTGAAACATGTATAATTTTGTTTACGAGTGTCACCCCAGTGAGTTCAATAAAAAGGAAATTACAAATGTGCATGTATGTATGCACAATGTACCTCATACTATGTTTAGTACTTATCATAATTGCAACTTTACATTATACATATTGTTATTAGTGTCTGCCTACCGTAATGCCTATGATTTAATAAAGTGACATGAAAAAGCAATGTGCCATAATTACAGTAACAAGTTCGGGCTTCAAATATTGTTGAATCACAAATCTAAAATTCCGGTTCAGGAAATAAGGTCACCATGCTCCAGAGAGTACACTTTGAGCTGAGGATTCACATTCAGGGGACCTGAATTAAAGTTCAAGACTTGCTGCTTATTAGCAGTGGGCTTTTCAAAACCAGAGGAGAAGGACCTATATTCTATATGTATATGCATACATATGTACCCCTTTTTCCCCCCCTTGGGAGAGTTGGTTCGAAATGTGAGGAGAAAGATGAGCTTAATGGTGAACACATTGTTGGACTGCCAGAGACATCAGGAGATGTTACATAGGTAACTGGACATATAGGTTGAGAATAAAGATTCAAGCAGAAGGAAGACATCTGGGAAAACCATGGGAATGGATGAAATTGCCTACATAACCTAGACTATGTAGCGCAGAAAGAGACCATAGGACAGAATCTTAGGAAATACCAACACTTTAAGGGCCAAGTAGAAAAAGATAATCCACAGAAAAAAGCTAAAAAGAAAAAAAAAGAAAAAGGAACAGGACAGACTTTTCAGAAGCACATGCCACATTTTAGAAAGCGTCATACTCCAGACTGACAGTGCTTTACAAATGAGCCTATAAATCAAAGTACTGTATGATGCTATAAGCATCTACATAGGATTTGGAACTTGCCTCAAATTAAACTGAGCAAGTGTTTATGAGAGCCTGTGTACGTTATATTAAATAATTTAAAAGAAATCTTATCTTCCAAATAACCTCAAAACTATCATCATAGCCACAAACTATTATGGTGTCCTCATGTCTACACATGCTCCTTTTTCTATTCAGAGAAATGAAACAATGCTGTTGTCACTGAAGGGCGCGGGCTTTCTCTAGCAGCCCAGATATGTGGGAAATTGCCTTTGAAATTAAGATTCACCTACAGTCAACAATGCTAAATTTTCTTTCACTAATTTTTCTGAAATCAAGTATTTAGAACATGGGGTGCAGTCTAGAGTCATGAAATTACAGGCAGGCCCGGCAACACTGGTGCCGATGTGCCCAACGTTGAGGGCTGACACTGAATATCACGGCAATTCTAGTTCCTCTGGGCTCCTGCTAAAAGCGGCACATATCTCAACTTTAAATAAAACTTTCCCATATGGCAGATGGTCAACAAATTCAAGTCTTTTAAAAGACTATAACAACAATATATATCTATTTCTTCATTGATAGTGTATTACACGCCTCGTGTATTAAAAGACTATAATGATCAAGCTAAGTATAAAACACTGCATTAAATTGACCAACCTAAATTCTACCATGGCAAATAAAATCACAAATACACACATACACACATACATTAAACTAAAGAAAAACTAAAGGAAAGATCTTTTTATTTTTAACCACAATGTATCTATTAATGACAAAATTTTAAAAAATTAATATTGTTGTTTTATCAGATAAAGACACTACAAAGAAAGAAAATCATAAGCCAATATCTTGATGAACAATGATAAAATCCTCAACAAAGTATTAGCTAATTGAATACAGCAATATGTCAAAAGGATCATACACCACTTTCAAATGGGTTTCGGGAATGCAAGGCTGGTACATTTATAAATAAGTAAATATGATAAAACACATAAACAAAATGAAGGATAAAAACCACATAATCATATCAATAGATGCAGAAAAAGCATTTGCTAAAATCCTGCAGCTATTTATGATAAAAACTCTCAGCAAAGTGGAAACAGTGGGAACATATGCATACCTAGACATAATAAAGGCCATATATGACAAACTAACTGCCAACATCATACCCAACAGGCAAAAACTGCTAGTGTTCCCCTTAAGATCGGGACCAAGAAAACAAGGATGTTGGTTTTCATCTCTCTTACGCAACATAGCACTGGAAGTCCTGGTCATAGCAATTAGACAAAAAGAAGAAATAAAAGGCATACAAATTGGAAAGGAAGAAGTAAAGTTGTCTTTACTTGCAGATGACCTGATACTGTACATAGAGAACTAACTTAAAGATTCCATGAAGAAACTACTAGAACTGATAAATGAATTCACTACAGTAGCAGGATACAAAATTAATATCTAGAAATCAGTCTCATTTTTATATGAGAATAATAAACTATCAGAAAGGGAAATTAGGAAAACAACCCAATTTACAATTGCTTCAAAAAAGAATAAAATACCTAGGACTATATCTAACCAAAGATGTAAAAGACCTGTATCCAGAAAATTTCAAGACACTGAAAAAAGAAATTAAAGAAGACACATGTAAGTGGAAGCACATATCTTGTTCATGGATAGGACGAAATTAATACCACTAAAATGTCCATACTACACAAAGCAATCTATAGATTCAACGTACTTCCTATCAAGATACCAATAACATATTTCACAGAGCTAGAACAAATATTTCAAAAATTTATATGGAACCACAAAAGGACCCAAAGAGCAACTGCAATCTTGAGAAAGAAGAACAAGGTTGGAGGAATCATGCTACCTAATATCAAATGTATTATACTTAAGCCTATAGTAATGAAAATAGCATGGCACTGGCATAAAAAGAGACACATAGATCAATGGAACAGAATAGAGAAGCCCAATATAAACCCACACCATTACAGTCAATTGATATTTGACAGAGGAAGCAAGCATATGCAATGAGCTAGAGAGAGTTTATTCAATAAATGGTGTTGGGAAAATTGGACAGATACGTGCAGAAAAATGAAATCAGAACACCTTTTTTGCTTCCACATACAAGAATAAATTCAAAATGGATTAAAGACTTATATGTTAAAGTCAAAACCATAAAAATCCTAGAAGAAAACATAGGTAGTAAAATCTCAGACACTGCTCGTAGCAATATTTTTTCTGACATATCTCCTCAGATAAGGGAAACAAAAGAAAAAAATAAACAAATGCAAAGACATCAAACTAAAAGGCTTTTTTGCACAGCAAAGGAAACCATCAACAAAATAAAAAGACATCCAGTAAATGAGGGAACATATTCACCAATACATCTGATACAGTGTTAATAATATAGAACTTATAAAACTCAACACCAAAGAAACCCCCCCCAAATAATCCAATTGAAAAATGGGCAAAGGACCTAAACAGACACTTCTCCAAAGAGGACATACACACAGTCAACAGACATATAAAAAGATGTTCAACATCACTAATCATCAGAGAAATGCAAATTAAAACCACAATAAGATATCACCTAACACCAGTCAGAATGGCTATCATCAATTAATCAACAAACAAGTGCTGGCCAGGATGTGGAGAAAGGGGAACCTTTAGAACTGTTGGTGGGAATGCAGGTTGGTGCAGCCGCTGTGGAAAGCAGTATGGAGATATCTCAAAAATTTAAAAATGGAACTGCCTTATGCACCAGTGATTCCACTTCTGGGAATTTATCTGAAGAAACCCAAAACTCTAATACGAAAGAATATGTGCATCCCTATGTTCATTGCAGTGTTATTTACAATGGCCGAGATTTAGAACCAACTCTAGTGTCCATCAGTAGATGAGTGGATAGAACAGCTACAGTACATTTACACAGTAGAATACTACTTGGTCATAAAAATTATGAAAATTTTACCCTTTTTGACAGCAAGGATGGACCTGGAAAACATTATGCTAAGTGAAATAAG